ACCCAAACCTCTTGGGGAGCCCCCACCACGTTCAGCAATCACCCTCTCCCTGCATAGCTCACTCTCAGCCTCCTCCTGGCCTGGGTGACTCTTACACACCTTCTCTCTGTGCTCACACCTCCAACCCTCCTTCCCCATTCTTACTTCCGCTGATGACCTTGCTTCCTACCTCACTGAGAGAAGTGAACACATTAGAAGACAATTTCACAGATTCCACCACCATCAGCTCATGCATTTGCAGCTGTGCCACTTGACGGGCCTTCCACCACATAGACAGTTGTTGTAGGTTGACCTAGTCCCAGCCAGAGCCAGTTCCTCTGCCGGTGTCCAAACCGCATCCTAACTCATCTACTTGAAGATAATAATTCATCAGTCCATTCTTTTTTTCTCTTTCATCATCATCATTTTTTCTCTCTCTACTGGACCACTGTGGCAGTCACAGGAATGCACATCTGAGGCCGTCAGCTAGAGGAAGTGTAACTGATGATGGTCCCAATTATTCTAGCCTGAAGCCTATTGCCACATTTGCTCTGAAACCATGTTCCCATAGGCTTCCTCCTGACAAGGTTGAGAACAGCAGGGAAATTAAGGCAGGATCTTTCCTCCACTGAAGACCGACTGAGTTCCAGGACTCCCTGATTCCCTTACTGAACCTCCCTTAGCCTGCAGTGGGTCTAGGGTGCTTCCAGCGGACTCTCCCTCCCTCTCTCCTTCACTGGAGTTTAGACTTGCATCACCCTCTGATGGCTCTCCCAGCGTTTTCTATCTTCCTCCCTAATTTCTGTCACAAGCATTTCCCCTAATAAATTCTTGCACATCTAATACTACATTAGGGTCTTCTCCGGGGACGCTAACAAGAGTGGTATCAGGAGTGTTCCAAGAACACAGGCAAAAGCATGGGGTTTGGGATGAGCTCACCCACTGCCTGGCTGGCCAAGAGGATGCCATCTGGGTTGATGGAGGACATGGAAAGTGCATAGCACAAGGTGCCGCCAAGCAACTGTGGATCTGCCCAGTGCTGACCTGAGAAGATGCCCTGGTTAGGGGAAGCTCTGGCAGCTGTGATGATAGAAGCCTCTGTACAATAATGACAGGGTGAGAGGGAAACCTACAAAGACAGTGAAGTTGGCTGAATACTACTCGGCTGTGTTAGTGTCCTATAAAAGGAGAATGAGAATCTGAGGATTGTTAACAGCAGTCGGTGGCTATGTGTGAGTGCCTCTGCAGTGTCTCATGGACAGTCCTTTATCTCCTCTAGAGGAAGGGCAGGTAGCATGGAATAGCAGCTGAAGACATCATTGTGAGGGTCACAGCACTCCAGAGATGTTTGACACTCAGCCAAGGCACGCCTGTTGTGGGAAAGTCAGGGCCCTGCTGGGGAAACCTGAGATTCTGCAAACTGGAACAGAGTTATCTGATCGGTGCCCTCCAGGACCCCCTGGGCATGCAGGGGAGGCTCACCTTTCTCTGGTAATAGTTCCCGCTTCCTGTACTGGAAGATGCTGCAGAAGCCTCCCCCTCTGTGATGCAGCGGGAATCCCTCTCAGGAGCTCTGCAGGAACCAGCCGGCATGGCCTTGTAGGAGCCCACGGAGCACTTCCGGGATTGGAATGTGAGGGTGTTTGATCAAAGCATCAGAATGTCAGGCTGGATGAATAAAAATCCTTTGGCTTGAGGGCAGTTTCTCAGGACA